CCAAAAGGTAAAGTTTGAAATTAGCCAAGATGCCATGTTGGGATTCCTGTGCATCCAAACCAAATGAAAAAAATGCTAATGATCTCGAAACCCACCCTTCTTTCTTTGTCGTCGGAGGCAAACTGTTTGAGTTTTGAGCGAGCCTTGACAATCGCAAAGCCAAGCCAGTATGTAGATAATTACAGCCTTTAAACTTGCACGGTCCCTAGTAAGGGCGAAAACCCATTGAAATTAAGCACCAACCAAGTAAGTTTCAACTTTTCCAGTTCTATAAAAGCTTTAAAGAAAAGTTTTCAGTTGTGAAAAGTTTCGGTCCATCAGTTTGCAGAAATTTAGAGATGCATCGAATTTGCCAAGAAACATTTGGGCTATCAACGTTTGAGCAGGCAAATTATTGAAAACATTTCAAGTAAGTGTTTCTAAGATTTTAACTGATTTTAACATGTGTCGTTTTCGTCTTAGATTTCAAATAGCAGACGCTAAACATTACAGCATAGGTTCTCATTACTCACGTCTCATTTGCATAAAGAAACAAATGAAGCGTAGAGTTATATACGCCGTCACTAACTTAACATAATCATTTACTACTAGTAGTAGTAGACTAGCTTAATAGTAGACCGTAGTATTTGCCAGAAATAAGGAATTCATCACAACACGAAAACTAAAATAATTTGTTCTACTATATTTACAATGGATAAAGGCATACGTATAAAAAACGCCAGTTGATTTTGTACGATTTTCAGCTCTTTTGAGCATTTTAGCTACATTTTAGAACCATTTAAAACGAGGCAACTTTTTGCCGCCGTCTGTCCGCCATTTTGTTTTCATCTCAAACTCAAATGTTTGGCCCAAATATGGTATCAAAATTACACGTTTCAATCCCCTTATGAGTTTCTGTTCTTCGAACTTAATTCGGTTCGAATTGGCCGGTAACAAAACGAAAAAGGGACTGGGTACGAACTTCCAAATCTAATTAAATAATGGTTCCAGAAAGAATAACCCCATCATGTGAAAGAGCACCTTATAAAAGGCTTACTGACTAAGTTTCATGATGTTTGAACCTATAGCAATAAAGTTACGGACATTCAAACCATGCCAAATTTACAAAGAAATGTATGGTGTCCAGCCAAAGCGTCCAGCCAAACATACATTCTTTGTAATTTTCGAAATTTTTGAAAAATTATATTCCCAATTCTAATGACTTAAACTTGCTCAAACTTTAAAGTTTAGCTAATTTATATGTGCTTTATCTATCAACAACAGATTTCTGTAAGATTGTAGCACTTTTAAAATTTTCAGTCCCAGGCCCCTGCTCGTTTTGTTATCGGCTAAT